ATTCCTATTTTAGGAGAATACGATTGGATCCTCTAAAAAAGAGGGGTCAAATTAGTTGTAAAATATTTAAATATTTTGAAAAGTATCCATTAAATAACAAAAGCTAAATCAAAGTTGCTTTTGCTGACAATTCATCTGAGCCGATGATGAACGTGGGCCTTACACGTTAGTTTGTCTTTTTTTTTTTTTTTTTAATTAACGTGTATATATCTAACCCGCCGTTATGCGATCCGACTAATTTTAGGACGACCACCTATTTTACGGATAGTCCGGAGTCACCGCATTTTAACCTCCATGGACACAAGGAGATTTTTATTCCTTATTGAATTTGAACTTGAGACCTTCAGACACTTTGACCTTATCCAGGTAATATTGAAGTCCTTGTGGCAATTCATGGTCCCCGTAGATTAGTTGATCCGCAAAAGCTGACACGAAAACTCATAATTACCAAAAAAGACTCAAACCCATATTGACCTCATAAGCGTTAATCGAAATAAATGTTCATTGATAATATATATACAACAAACGAAAAAATAATAACAATTCGAAAGATCAAAGCATATGATGGCGAGCGAGTGTCATCCCAAACCTTTCACATTTTGTACAACAATAGTTCTAAAGATCCATGAAGAGATTTTGAATGTGCTTATTGACGAACAAACCTCTATCAAAAATCCAATCTTGAATCATGGCTTGAGAATTCACACCCTGATCGGCTGCCACCATATGCCCAGCCCCTAACACAACCACATGGCTCAAATTGTCTGNAGTTTTAAGAGTTTAAGAGTTTTTAAGAGGTTTTAGCCAAATGCTTTATAATATAGTATAGATATAGATAAACTTGGGTCATGTGGTCGTGTGGGTTGCTGACTTACTAGGCTAAGGCTAATGGGCTTTTGTCATTTTGATAAAGAGTCTTCCTCTTGCATATTGGAATATTTTAGAATTGAAATTTTCAATGCATATGAGCATATCATTGTATCGACATAGTTGGAGCACATTACACAACATTAACAACATATTGGGACATTGTCCTAATTATTGGGCATTTGTTCTTTGCAATGCACCGTGACATAGATTATGAATTTTACAATTTATTATTGTTTTTTGATTTTTGTTTACTTTGAGGTTTGACATTACCGCATTAGATTTAGGGGCAGTTTGATTGGTTTTTTTATTTATTAAATTCTATATAGATAAAGTTGTCTGTATGAATTAATCTGTTTATATAAGTTAGAAAAGTTTTTGTTTGGGAGAGTTTTTTCATAACTTCTTATCTTAAAGAATTAAAATGAAACAACTTTTATCTCGGTTTCTATTTGTTTAGAAGGTTATCTTAAACTAAGGGGCCGTTTACCTAAATGCTTACCCGGTAAGCGCTTATCATTAAGAGTCAACATTATAATTTATTTTACCGGATAAGATTGTAGTACATCAAAATGATATTGTATACAACAATTTACCCGGTAAGTGCTTACCCGAGTAAGATTCGTCACCCTCACTTACCGAGTAAGACTCTTCATCTTTATCATTGCTCTTATCGGGTAAGATTTTTGACCATTGTCATATTTATCCGGTAAGAAAAAATTACCCGATAACTATTTACCGCGTTAACGTTTAATAAATTATCCCTAAACCTAATAAATTTCAATCGATTGTAAGACATCAGCTTTTGATAAACATATATTTCAATTCCTATTTTAGGAGAATACGATTGGATCCTCTAAAAAAGAGGGGTCAAATTAGTTGTAAAATCTTTAAATATTTTGAAAAGTATCCATTAAATAACAAAACTAAATTAAAGTTGCTTTTGCTGACAATTCATCTAAGCCGATGATGAACGTGGGCCTTACACGTTAGTTTGTCTTTTTTTTTTATTAACCTATATATCTAACCCGTCGTTATGCGATCCGACTAATCCTAGTACGACCATCTATTTTACGGGTAGTCCGGAGTCATCGAATTTTAACCTCCATGGCCTCAAGAAGATTTTTATTCCTTCTTGAATTTGAACTTGAAACCTTCAGACACTTTGACCTTATCCAGATGATGTTGAAGCCCTTGTGGCAATTCATGGTCCCTGCAGATTAGCTGATTCATGGAAGCTGGCACGAAAACTCATAGTTACCAAAAAAAGACTCAAACCCGTATCGACCCACATAAGCGTTAATCGAAATAAATGTTCACTGATAATATATATACAACAAACGAAAAAATAATAACAATTCAAAAGATCAAAGCATATGATGGCCAGTGAGTGTCATCCCAAAGCTTTCACATTTTGTACAACAACAGTTTTAAAGATCCATGAATAGAACAAACCTCTATCAAGAATCCAATCTTGAATCATGGCTTGAGAATTCACACCTTGATCGGCTGCCACCATATGCCCAGCCCCTAACACAACCACATGGCTCAGATTGTCTGATTCCAATACATAACCTGCAAGAACACCATTCACATTCCAAACCTCTCTTTCTGCATCCAAAAACTTCTGAAGCACCTCCTATTGCATCAATAGCATAGGCCAAATACCCCTGACACTTTTTCTGAATACAATTTTGGGCTTTCAATACATATAAAAGACTAGTATGATGATTATGTCGATCTCCATAACAACCGGCCCTCTGTCTGGTAAGGTAATTTTGATCATTTTCTTATTGCAGACAATACTGGCCTGATGTTCTGTAAACTAATCCATTCTTACTACTATATCAAACTCTTTCATCGACATTGGGAACAGTCGAATTGGTAACTCACACCCTCAATAACAATAACACAGTTATGGAATACACAAGTAACATATTCTTGATTATTAGTAGTGTCAACTACTAATTTATCGTCAAGTGGCACGGAATTCAAGCATGCATATTTGACAATGATACAAGTGATATGAATTACCTTGTTGATACATAATTCTTGATTTACAATATTATGGTCTCATGATTGTGACTCTTGTTATTACAATATTATATCACACAGTAATTTGGTAAAAACAAAATATTAAACAATTCATTATGGGTAAATTGGTCAATTAATCAGTTATGTCATATCTTGTCTGTAACATCCAGTCGTATCAAATATTGGATAACTGTTCTATCATATTCTGTCACATTTTATCTTATCTGGACACTAAACATACTCTTAAACATGTATTTTTTTTAACGCAAATACATACTTTTTYTTTACATAAAGAAATGATTATTTTAGAAAGGGGTTGATATCCCCACCCCCTTACGTCATTTCCCACCCCCTCCTCCTCACATATTTCTCTCACTCACACCCTCACATCCACCGATTTTTTAAAATTTTTAATTTTAAATTTACATTTCATACCCCTCTAATTAAATAATTAATTTACTTTATATCCTTTTCTTTTAAAATTTTCATTTTACACCCTTATCAAATTAACACACATAATTATATATCAATTATAACATGTTTAAAAAATAYATTTTTATTTTAACAAATTACATCATTATAATCGTCTCGTTAATACCTTCGAAATGAGTCTAATATTGAATAGTTTTTGANCAAATTGTCTGATTTCTGTACATAACCTGCAAGAACACCATTCACATTCCAAACCTCTCTTTCTGCATCCAAAAACTTCTGAAGCCCCTCCCATTGCATCAATAGCATAGGCCAAATACCCCTGACACTTTTTTTTAATACACTTTCGGGCTTTCAATAAAGACTAGTATGATGATTCTGTCGATCACCAAAAATAACAACCAGTCCTCTGTTTGGTAAGGTAATTTTGATCATTTTTCTATTGCAGACAATACTGGCCTGATGTTCTGCCAACTAATCCATGCCTACTACTATATCAAACTCTTTCATCAGCATTGGGAACAGTCGAATTGGTAACTCACACCCTCAATAACAATAGCACAGTTATTGAATACACAAGTAACATATTCTTGACTATTAGTAGTGTCAACTAGAGGTGGCCAAAAATCGGTCCCGGGCCGGGCCATAACCGGTTGCGGCCGGTCCCGATCAAGACAAAAACGTGCCATAACCGGTCCCGGTTCCGGTGAAATCTTCCATAACCGGTCAAGCTTACCGGTAACCGGTTAAGCCGTCCGGTCCCGGTTCCGGTCCCGGTCCCATAACCGGTTACGGCCGGTCCTTTGCAAAAAAAATATTTTTTTTTTCAAATTTTTGGTAATTAATAAATTTATAATATGTTATTAATATCTTTGAAATATGTTATTTTTAATACGTTTTTATTATAAATACGTTTAAAAATATGTTTTGTTATATATATATATATATATATATATATACGTTTAACTTAATAAATACGTTTTGTTATATATATATACACGTTGACTTTTGTTGACCGGGCCGGGCCGGTCATATAACCGGTTACATAACCGGTTCCGGTCTTAACCGATCTCGGTCCTAGAAAACGTTAAAATCCATAACCGGTTCATAACCGGCGGTCCACAACAGGTCCCGGGCCGGTTCCGGTCCTCCGGCGATTACGGGCCCGGCCCATTTGGCTATTTCTAGTGTCAACTACTAATTTATCGTCTAGTGATACGGAATTCAAGTATGCATATTTGGCAATGATACAAGTGATATAAATTACCTTGTGGATACATAATTCTTGATTTACAATATTATGGTCTCATAATTGTGACTTGTTATTACAATATTATATCACACAGTAATTTGGTAAAAACAAAAAATTAAACAACTCATTATGGGTATCAGTTATGTCATATCTTGTCTGTCACATCCAATCGTATCAAATGTTGGACAACTTTTCTATCATATTTTGTCACATTCTATTTTGTCTGGACACCAAACATACTCTTAAACATGTATTTTTTTTTAACGCAAATACATACTTTTTTTTACATAAAGAAATGATTATTTTAGAAATTATTGTGAAAATATGACAAAGAAATGGAGAAAGGAAGATAAAGTAATTTAGTAATTTCCATTTATTATTTTAGAGCCATCTGCACAATCATGAGCCGTACAAAACGACAGACTGATGATATCGAATTCATTCATACATCTGCCGTCAATGGCGTCAACGCCCCTCCTCCACTTCCTCTTCCTCACRCTCCTCTTCCACCAACACACGCATTCATCGGCCTCTACACTCCCCAAAGAAGCTCTACCTACAAAATCCGGCTACCTCCCCGTCAATTCCACCACCGGCTCAGCCATTTTCTATGCATTCTATGAAGCCCAATATCCCAATMACACTTCTCTTTCTCARACYCCACTTATCATATGGCTTCAGGGGGGACCTGGTTGCTCCTCCATGATCGGAAATTTCTACGAACTCGGTCCATGGAGAGTAACGCCTGTGAAGCAAAACGTCAAASACCTTGAGCTCCAACCAAATCCTGGTTCTTGGAACCGAATATTCGGTCTTCTTTTTCTTGATAATCCGATTGGAACCGGCTTTAGTATCGCTTCGACGCCAGAAGAGATCCCAACAGACCAACAAGCTGTRGCAAGGCATCTGTTCATCGCGATCAGAAAGTTTATTGCTTTAGACCCGTTGTTTAAGTCTCGTCCAATTTACATTACAGGAGAGAGTTATGCTGGAAAATACGTGCCGTCAATTGGGTATTATATTCTTAAAAGAAATCCCCTKTTACCCCTTTCGAAACGTGTCAATTTACATGGAYTGGCTATCGGAAATGGGTTGACCGATCCGGAAACCCAAGTGGGGACTCATGCTTTGCATAATTACTATCTTGGTTTAATCAATGAAAAACAGAAAACCCAATTGGAGAAGCTTCAATTTGAGGCTATCCRCTTAACAGAATCTGGTAACTGGAGTGTTGCTACAGATGCAAGAACCAATGCTTTGAGTTTTCTACAAAACATCACAGGTCTAGCTACTCTATATGACTTCAGGAGGTATCRTCCCTATGATTCTTACTGGGTAGAAGAGTTTTTGAAGAACCCAGAGGTTAAAAASGCATTGGGAGTGAATGARTCAATGGTKTTTGAGRAGTGTAGTGATGTGGTTRRTGCAGCACTGCATTCAGATGTGATGAAGAGTGTGAGGTTCAAGGTGGAGTATCTTGTGAASAACATTAAGYTATTGCTGTATCAAGGGCAATGTGATYTGAGAGATGGGGTRGTGTCTACTGAATCTTGGATGAGAAAGATGAAATGGGAGGGACTTGAGAAGTTTTTGGATGCAGAAAAAGAAGTTTGGAAGGTGAAAGGTGTAGTTGCAGGTTATGTTCAGAAATCAGATAATTTGAGGCATGTGGTGGTGTTAGGGGCTGGTCATTTTGTGCCAACTGATCAAGCTGTGAATTCTCAAGCCATGATTGAAGATTGGGTTCTTGATAGAGATTTGTTCATCAATAATCAGATTCAAAAGCATCCCTTGGATATCTAAAACTGTTGTTTTACAAGATGTGAAAAGCCTTGGAATGATACTCATGTTGTGAATCTATGAACTTTGTTGATCAATTATATGCTTTGATCTTTGTAATTGCAAATTGTTGTTGGAACAAACTTCATGATAACGGATAAGGGATTACGACCGAAGATCTTTCGTAAGTATATTGGTCGTACACATACTGTACCTTTTGACGGTATCATGATTTAGTAGGAGTCTGTATTTCGAGTGTTTTATGTATCGTTTGAAAACAAGTATGTTGTATGCTTATAAGGAATGAAAGATGGGGCAGGAACCAATTGGAAATGGCATGGTTCACCATATATTGGTAGGTGTGACAGTTGATGAGTTTAGTTAGGTTAATGGTAACGAAAAATGCTTTGATTTTGTAGCAGTGTATGATAATGGACTAGATTGTTTGAGAATATCGTGATTAGGAGTGCTCATGTGTTGGGTTGATCGGGTTGAAGACATTTGAACAACTCAACCCAATGTTTGCGGTTTGAAAAATTCTTAACCCAACCCAACCCAACCAATGTACAACTCAACCCAAACCGTACGGGTTGGTCATGTTAATCGGGTTGATACTTTGGTATATTAAAATATTTTTCTAACCTTAAATATGTTATTACTCTACTTGTAATTTCTTTTTCATCATCAACCATTTGATACAACTTATCCATATTTCTTACGTATATCACATTCAGTTAATTTTCTCAATTTACATATATATGTTCACAGTTACTGAACATATATATGAATGAATTATATAGAGATGTGAATAGATTGAAAATATGTGTATATGAAAACATACATGATAGTGTAATTGTTTAATGTATATAATAATAGAAATTCAACAATCATATTAAATACAAGAAATATAAGGATATCGGGTTCATCGGGTTAGGTTGGGTTCAAATAATAGTATACCAATATCAACCCAATACCTATGTTTGACAATTTTACAACTCGATTAGACATCGGGTTGCTTCGGGTTGGGTTATTTCGCGTTGGATTGGGTTGGGTTGATCGGGTTGGTCGGGTTTTTTAGCACCCCTAATCATGATTATAGGAGCAAGTTTAATCTTAAATCCATCAATGAGTCGCGTTTGATACAGGCATCTCATCTTGCTGATCATCCTAATGTGCATCTGGAGTGGTCAAGGTCCCTTCTTACACTTCTCATGTTAACATTATTTATTTATTTATGGTATCTCTATTGTTTCATGTTTTGTTATTTCTAAACCCTAAAAAGTATCATCTCATCATTCCATTCGGCCACCTCCTATCAAAGCCATGGTCGGCCCTGGCCACGTGCAGCCCATGCGACTGCACAAGACATCAAAGCTTAAAGAGGCATCAAGTTGTCATCTATTATAAGTTTTGGGTTTAATAATTTGGGAATTGGACAACTGAGTTTTAACTCTAAAAACAGGCCCAAGGCCTAGTGGTAATGAATATTGAATGCATATCGTGAACCGGTTAACGCCATCATTCCAACAACTCAGTCTAATTTATATTTTTCTTCAAAATTCGACTATTTCGATTTTCAAGGCATGGAGTTCTCTTTCTAACCGATTAACGGTTATGAAATTAGATTCAAAAATCAAACATGGAAATCTCGAATGACTGATTTCTATTGTTGATTTAACTTATCGAGTTGTTGTATGAGTCATATTATGATTTATGAATCTTTAAATCTTTTTGCAAAAAAATCTAAATTTCTAACTGATTATTATAAAGTTGGGTCATGTGGTCGTGTTGGTTAATGACTTACTAGGCTAAGGCTAAGAGGTTTTTATCATTTTGATAATGAGTCTTCCTCTTGTATATTGGAATATCTAAGAATTGAAATTTTCAATGCATATGAGCACATCATTGTATCAACATAGTTGGAGCACACTGCACAATGTGACATTGTCTTAATTATTGGGCACTTGTTTGTTGCAATGCACAATAACATAGATTGTAAATTTTACAATTTATTATTGTTTTTTTTACTTTTGTTTACTTTGAGGTTTGGCATTACCGCATTAGATTTAGGGGCCGTTTGATTGGTTTTTTATCAAGTTCTACATGGATAAAGTTGTTTGTATGAATTAATCTGTTTGTATAAGTTGGAAAAGTTTTTGTTTGAGAGAGTTTTTTCATAACTTCTTATCTTAAGGAATTAAAATGAAACAACTTTTATTTCGATTTCTATTTGTTTAGAAGGTTATCCTAAACTAAGGTGTCGTTTATCTAAACGCTTACCCGGTAAGCGCTTATCATTAGGAGTCAACATCGTAATTTATTTTACCGGATAAGATTGTAGTACATCAAAATGATATTGTATACAACAATTTACCCGGTAAGCGCTTACCCGGGTAAGAGTCGTCACCCTCACTTACCGAGTAAGACTCTTCATCTTTATCAATGCTCTTACCGAGTAAGATTTTTGACCATTGTCATATTCATCCTTACACCCGATAAGTATTTACCAGGTAAGCGTTTAGTAACAGCCCCTAAGCCTAATAAATTTCGATCGATTGTAAGACATCAGCTTTGATAAACATATATTTCAATTCCTATTTTAAGAGAATAGGAATTTGACCATTGGATTTAGGGGTGACAATGAGTCAGGTTGGGTTGGATTCGGGTTCAACCCATTTATTAAACAAGTTAAAATTTTCAACCCAACCCAACCCATTTAATTAAATGGGTTGAGATTTTTCAACCTAACCCAACCTTTTATCTAAATGGGTTGATAACGGGTTGACCTGTTTACGATTTACTTAACCCAACCTGTTAAATAAATGGGTTGAACCACTAATGTTGGACTTATGGACGGAGAGAAAACCGAGAAGGAGACAATTAGACAAATGTTGGACGGAGAGAAAGCCAAGAGGAAGAAAAACGTTGTATGGAGAGAGAGCCGATATCGTGAGATCGAGAGGTGAACAACAAACTTGAAGAGTTGGATTGGACTTCGGAGCGATAATGGAGTAATGGAGGCGATTGGAGTTTGGACTTTCATATCACGATGGTGGAATTTTTTTATTAAGAATAAAACAACATTAAAAATTAGAATATTAGATATAACTAGAAAGGTACTCGCGCAATGCAGCGAGATACATCTTGATTTTAATGTTTTATTTTACATTTTGGGTCTATAGATGTTATAATGTGATTTTATGTGGTTTTGAGAAGAAAATGTTTTTATTTTTGAAATGAAATATAAATTTGAAGATATTATAAAATTTTGAAAAAAATAAGTGACATTTGTATCAAATTAACTATTTAAAAGTTAACATTTTTGTGTAATTTCTTTAATTCAATTTTTTTTATATAATTTAATTGAAGTTTAAAAACGAATTATTTTATTTTTGGTTGAATAAAATAATATTTTTTAAGATAATAATAAGGTATTCTGTTAGAACTCAATGATTATCTTAATTATATTTTAGATTTTTTTATTTAAAGTGATGTTTATTATGTATTTTATTATGTTTATCTGCATTTAGTTACAAGAATTCAAACATGAAACTTTAATAAGATGTATTCTTGCACATTCTACTTGTAATCTTGAATTTTAAGTAATATGCATCAATAAACAGTACTTTATGCATAAAAAATTGTTTTTAAGAGTTTTTGGCAAATGCTTTATAATATAGTATAGATATTAAGAATAAAATAAAATTATATAATATTTTAAATTGGTTGAAAACATGTTGTAAATGTGTTGAAAACAGATCGAAAAATTCAACCAACTCAACCCATTTACTTAAATGAATTAGACGGATTAACCCATTTATTTAAATTGGTTAAACAGATTAACCCATTTATTTAAATGGGTTGAGATTCCTGCTAATTTCTGAATTAGGTTTGAATTGAATTAGGAGGTTGAGTCAATTTTTTGTCGCCCCTAATTGGATCCTTAAAAAAAAAGTGTCAAATTAGTTGTAAAATATTTAAATATTTTGAAAAGGCATCCATTAAATAACAAAAACTAAGGGGCTGTTTACCAAATTTTCTATTAAGTCCTGTATGGATAAATTTGTCTGTCTGGATAAATTTGGCTGTCTGGATAAATTTGGGTTGCTGTTTACTTTTCTATCTGAATCAACAGTCTGAATAACAGAAATGACCAATTTACCCCTGAGTATTAACTATGGGCTGTTTAGTATACTGTTGTTCATTTTTTAAGGCAAATGATATTTCTGAAAAATAAAATATTTAAATAACAAAACATAAATTCATCTCTTGAACCGAGCAAAATCAGCACATGAACAGCATATGTTTGTAACAAGCAACAAAATCGAAACAAAACATGTGAATCGAGCAAAATCGAGCAAGCAGAACCCTTGAACCGATAGGTAGGTTCAACAGAACCCTGCAGTGTGTAACAAGCAGAAAAATCGAGCAAAATCGAGCAGATAAAATCAAAACAAAACATGCGAATCGAGCAAAATCGAGCAAGCAGAACCCTTGAACCGATAGGTAGGTTCAACAGAACCCTCCAGTGTGTAACAAGCAGCAAAATCGAGCAACATCAAGCAGATAAAATCGAAACAAAATCGAGCAGATAAAATCGAAAAAAAAACATGCGAATCGAGCATCAACGAGCAGAAAAACCGAGTATAATCTATAGATAAGGAGAAGAGTTACCTTTGGAGAAGAGAAGATTGTTCCACGAGCAGCAAAATCGGCCGATTAGGGCTCTGTTGAAGGAGCGACTATTAGGGTTCTGTTGAAGGGGAGAAGAGAGGCGTGTTTTTGTTGAAGGGTATGCAGGTCATTTTCTTGGCTTAATGTGGACAAGTACCATTACCCTGCTGTGCGAATAAGCCCATGTCTGGGAGAATAAGCCCGAAGTAAACAGCCTAAAATGGCTGTGCGAATAAGCCGGTTTTTCCGGTAAGCTCATTAAGCCACAAGTAAACAGGCCCTAAATCAAAGTTGCTTTTGCTGACAATTCATCTAAGCCGTGATGAACGTGGGCCTTATACGTTTGTTGGTCTTTTAAGTTATAAAAAACAATGAACAATTATTTTACAGGCAAAGCATCTTATTCTAGAAAAAAAAATGTGAAGGTATTTAGTTGAATGACACGAATAAGCATTCATACTCGATTCGATCATAATATATATGCATTTCGCAAAACTCAAACCGATGGATAAACCTAACACGTCTTAGTCCAAAGACAAATCTAACGATAGAAGTGCATGGACAGAGACTTGTCAACAAGTTGATGTCCATTCAGAAACCAATTTAAGAATATTTGTAACTCATTACTTTTTAAAAACGAAGGAAGTAGAAATAG